GCAGCAGGACAGGGCCCGGGCCGTGCGCTGGGTTTGCCCCCGGGGCTCGAAACGCGCTGGTGCTCGGGCCTTAGCAAAAGCTGCCCAGCGGCGGGGCCTCCTTTCCCTGGCCGGGTTTGTGGGAGAAAAGGGCCGGCCGCTTTTGCTCGATCGGTATTTGTCCCGGCAGGGGAGGTTTGGGGCTCCCGCAGAAAAGAGTCGCCCGGCTGGGCACAGATTTGCGTCGCTTCTTGTCGCGGAGACCGCGAGGGCTGGGGCAAGAAGCGCCGGGGACTGCTCTTCGGGGAGAGCCAGGCCTTTGTTGGTCTGCCCAAATCTCACGTTTTGTACCGCTTCGCCCGCCTTTGGCAGCGGGGGGAGGCGGGGTGGGGGGGAGGAAGCAAACCAGAGCACGGAAATATTCTCCGCGCAATATCCCCATGCAGCCCGAGTGACTTAAATGGAAAGGCACGGGGGGAGCTGGGAGTAGGAGTTGGCCTCCACCGCTGTCAGCAGGGCCGGGCAGAGCGTTTCCAACCTCAGATGCTGGCTGCGAGCTGCAAGCGTTGACACGAGATGAAATGGAGCGGCCCGGAGCCCTGCTCATTAAAAGGCGGTTGACATCCTTGCACAAACCCCGCGTCTTTAAACAGCAAAACAAAAAGAAAAAACTTGATTTCTGGTCTTTGGAACTGTTTTCCTCTTTAGATGCAAAGATAAGCCGTGATTCGCTGTTCAAGCAGGGAAGCATGAGTATTTTTTTAAATGTCTCCCCTCCCCACCCTTCAGGGAGTTCCGATGCCCTAAAGAAAAGTAAGGGGAGCAAAAAGCAGGATCCTAAATCCCAGGCAGGGCTGCTCGTGGTAAAGAGGAGCGGTGGGAATGAGCCGGTTCAGGCGGACAGGCTCCTTGGGGTTGGAGACGCGCGCCGCGATCTACCGCAGGTCGGTCCCTGCCGGGCTGGGGGTGGGGGCTGCATTTCCAGAGCCCATGTCCAATGTGTTTTGGAAATGTTAAGCACCACGTCCAGCTGATTAGATTTACGCCCAGCTGTGACACCCCATAGGAGCCTGGGCAGCTTTGCTCCATACGTTTCCATAAGCAGGGCTGGTGCTTGAGTGTTCTTCCCGATCCCTGCAAAGTGTTGGTTTTACGAGATGTCAGATCTCCTTTTATTGCTGATAGCGGGGACTCACCTTCAGATCTCCAAAGGAAATGAAGGTGACGTGTGTTCCCTTCTTTTCTGCGGAATCCAGGTTTAAAGGTCTTCTGAGACAAATAAGGTTTTCTGACATTGAGAAACACCCCGAGCCGAGCCGGGGCGTCTGCAAGACGGCCTTGCGACTGGAGAGAAACTTCTTCCAGCACAGCTTCTTCCTCTGCTTCCAGTCCCTCGGCTCTCGGGGCCTCCAGCCCGGCAGCATCCTGCAGCCCGGGGGCGATCGGGCACCCCTGGCGAGGAAGGCCCACAGGGCCTGGCACCTATAGAGTGCAGGTGGCCCCTATAGGCGCCATAGCCCCCGAGAGATCACGAGGCTGTCTCAGGCAAGCGGGGCAGCGTCCAGGCTGGACTTTTTCTCCTGGGACTCAGCCTCGCTTGCTGCCTGATCATTTCTGATGAAGGCCAGGGTCACCAATTCCTCCCGGCTCACCTTTGCCCCGGGGGTGATGGTTTAGGCAGGTCCCTATCGCTCAGATGCCTCTGTATGTCAGTCAATGTGGCAATCCCTAATAAGCCGAGGTCGTGAGAAATCACACACACCGATGTGCCTCATCTATATTTTATTTCCCCTGCGAAGGCACGGGTGGGGTGGGGGGCTTTCGCTGAGACGCTACTGTTGACTGTCAGGGATATTTATTTACAAGAAGGGGTAACACTCAGGATTCAAAAACAACCAGCCACTGCCTCTCAATGTCATTTTGAGCCGGCAGAAGGAATCAAGCAGCCTGATTCGGTTTGAGGGTCGTTTCCCGGCAGGGCTTAGGCAAGCAGCTGTCCCGTTTTGCGTTTGCTCGTCTTCTTGTGCCTGTCGGGATAGGCTGTTGGTTTGAAGCTCGTGGAGGAGAAGGAGGAGGGAGGCGGAAAAAAAAACCAAACCACAAAACAAAATAAATCAATCAAAAGAAAGAAGGAATCGGGTCGTCGTCCGGTCCCTTTAGCGATGATGAGCTGGCTGTTTAAGGCTGATCTGTCCCGCAGAGTGGTCGAAAACTGTGCGGATTGGTTTTGCCTTTCCAGGCTGAACTCCTTCTGCTAGGATAAGCACTATCCCCGGCCGTGATTTTCAAATAACAAATGCCCCTGCTTCCACCCCCCC